GAGTAAACCATCTCACATATATTCGGATAATGGGACTAATTTTGTAGGTGCAAAAAATGAGTTAAATATATTATTTAAGTTTTTGTCATACCTCTTATGATACATTTTCAAATCTTTTTCACAAATAAAAATATTCAATGGCATTTTATTCCGTCGAATTCTCCGTCATTTGGAGGATTGTGGGAATCTAACATTAAAAGTGTAAAACATCATTTACTAAGGACAATTAAAAATGTTTTATTAACGTATGAAGAATTTGTAACGATACTAACACAAATTGAGGCTACGGTAAATTCCCGTCCCCTTTACCCTATGTCCTCAGACCCTAATGACTTTTCACCCTTAACCCCATCTCACTTCTTGATTGGAAGATCACATACTGCTGTTCCTGATCCAGCTTTTGGTGAAACGGTAAAACTGAACCAGTTAACAAGATTTCAGCTGCTTCAACAATTGCAGCAAAGTTTTGTGGAAGCAATGGTCTACTCCTACCTTTCCAGCCTTCAAAGCAGATATAAGGGCAAACAAAAGGTACCCAATTTTGGAATGTGGTACATTGGTGACCATCAGAAATGAGAATGTTCCTCCATGTCAATGGATTTTAGGACGAATCAGTGAAGTTCACCCAGGTCCAGACGGCGTAGTACGAGTCGTTACAGTGAAGACGTCGAAAGGAACTTTAAAAAGAGCTGTAACTAAAATATGTCCTCTACCAGTATTATTGAACCAACCGTTCAAGGCGGGAATATGGTGAAAACTTGAATCAACGTGGCAACGTGGTGTTCCGGCCGACCATGCGGAGTCGGCTTTAACAAGTCGCCCTCTCTCTCTAGCTAGCGACCATCGAAGAAGCCAGTTCGAAATTATACAGTCCATTTCATTTCAGTTTATTTAATGTTTCAAATGTTAATTTTATTATAGTTCAGTTAAATAAAAAGTTATAACGTATGCAATCATTTCTACAATTTGTAAACGTTTTTTTTTATGTTCTTTGATATTGTCGCTAATTTTTGTCTCAGTCTCGTTTTTTAGCATATTTCTATGATTATTGTATAAACTGTAATTTTTATAGCTTTTCCGACGGTAGGTTGTTTAATACTGTTTTGCCGATGTATTTCCCATATAATTTTGATGATTTTTTTTTTAATGTATTATTCATTGCCTATCAACCATGCTTTGATTATAAATTCCTATTAAGTCTGTTGGTGCTTATAAACTTTTTGCAGGATTGGCCCTCTTATAAGTTTTGGATAGTTTTTTAATGCAATTTTTCATTGCAAGTTGACGACTGCTTTGAATATTAGTTCCTATCCATCAATAAGTGTTTTATTACTTCATATGCATCTCGATTTATTTGAAGGTTATATTGCTATCTGTCAGTACGTGTTTATATAACTTTTTTTTTAACTTGTTGTACACATTATACCCTCATCTTCTGTTTTAAAAAATGCTTTTCGTTTGTTTGTAGGTGTTTTTTTTTTATTGTAGTTTACATAGTTTATTATATTTATAGCATTTTCCACGTTTATATTTTGCTTATGTTTTTTTTTTTTGCACGTATTTATTTTGGTATATTTAACATTGTTTTTATTTAATGTTTAGCATTGTACCTCTGTAAAGCATATTTGACATTTATGAGTGCTTTTTCAATTGTTTTTTTTACTTTCAGCTGTACCGTGACTAAGCATTATCGTCGAATTAACGTTGATACTTATATAGGTTATTTTTATGTTAATTGTTTTTAATTCTATATTTAACTCTATTTTGTATGAGATGCTGTAGTGTCAGTTTAACTGGTAGGATTGTTGGTGGAAATATATATTTACCGAAGCACAATACCAACCTACAAATAAAATATTGCCCGAAATGCCGTAGATTAAATATTAGTATCTCAGCTTACCATTTGTATTCGCTAATTTTGTATATCACCCGAATTGTTATGAATATGATTACGAATAAGCCTCGATGTTCTGTTGGCGATAATAACTATGCAAATTTATTCGAAGTCGAATAAAACGATTTTACGCTGGTATTTCCCTCGTGCCGCTGCATATGTGTCACTAAAGGCGTTCTGAATGTCTCTGTTATGACGCTCTGTTACCCTCTGTGTACCTCTGCTACCCTCTGCTACGCTGTGTTCCCTCTGTTATTGTGTCTTTGGTCTTTTAAAATGTCGAACGTCACGTCACAACGTCACACGTCACGTAATTCCTACATTTCACGTCCTACGTCGAATGTCACATCAATTCACTGACATTTCACGTTTTGTGTCGAATGTCACATTTCATCAATTCACGTGACATTTCACGTATTTGTGTCGAATGTCACATAAATGTCACGTCCTGCGTCGAATGTCACGTCCTGCGTCGAATGTCACGTCAATTCACGTGACATTTCACGTTTTGTGTCGAATGCCACATAAATGACACGTCTTACGTCGAATGTCACGTCCTGTGTTGAATGTCACATAAATGTCACGTCCTGCGTCGAATGTCACGTCCTGCGTCCGAATGTCACGTCAATTCACGTGACATTTCACTTTTTGTGTCGAATGCCACATAAATGACACGTCTTACGTCGAATGTCACGTCCTGCGTCATTTCACGACATTCACGTTCTGTGTTGAATGTCACATACCTGTCACCTCCTGCGTCAAATTTCACGACATTTCACGTTCTGTGTTGAATGTCACATAACAGTCACGTCCTGCGTCGAATGTCACGTCCTTCGTCAACGTTCTCCTAGCCACTGTCCGAAAAAGAAGAAGAAGAAGAAGAAGAATGTTCATACTGATCGTTGACATGGCTTCTGTGCTTTGACACCTCATACGTCAAAATCATGCCAATAGCAACAAAGATACATTCTAGCGCCCATTTGGACATGCTGCCATCTTTGTTTTTTTTTTTTGTGTCAAAGTATTCCCCGTCTCATCCCCGTCCATCGAGCCCTCGTGTCACGTCCTGCGTCAAATGTCACGTCCTGCGTCAAATGTCATGTCCTACGTCGAATGTCACATCAATTCACGTGACATTTCACGTTTTGTGTCGAATGTCACATAAATGTCACGTCCTGCGTCGAATGTCACGTCCTGCGTCGAATGACACGTGACATCCAACGCTTTGACACCTCAACGTCAAAATCAGACCAATAGCAACGAAGATACGTTTTAGCGCCCATTTGGCAACGCCGCCATCTTTGTTTTTTGTCTCCCTGCCTTCTCCCCGTTCCAACGAGCCCTCGTACGTCACGATCGGACCAATAGAAACAAAGATATACGTAATGACCTTTTGGCATGCTCCGATGCGCACGGCACATACTGCATTCAACCCCATTTTTCATCCCCTTTCCACGAGCCCTCGTACGTCACGATCGGACCAATAGAAAACGAAGATACCCCATAATGACCTTTTGGCATGCTCGATGCGCACACGGCACATACCGCGTTCAACCCCATTTTTCATCCCTTTCCAACGAGTCCTCTCGTACGCCCCGATCGGACCAATAGAAACAAGATACCCCATAATGACCTTTTGGCATGCTCCGATGCGCACGGCACATACGCATTCAACCCCATTTTTCATGCCCCTTTCCAACGAGCCTCGTACGTCATCCTACTGATTCAGACCGTTTGGAAACTACGACCGGGGGTTGCGATTTTTTAGAAGGGTTGCAATTTAGGTTGTTCAGATTCTGATGTACCCTATCAACTTATATAATATATACTATATAATATAATATATAATATAATATATAATGTTTGACCTCATCATCCCATGAGTTTCTTTATAACAAGGAAGAGTATTCTCCTCTATTTTTTCTTTTTCATTAATCAATGGTGTATCCCAAAACCTTCCTTTTACTTATCTCTCATATTCTCTTCTTCTTCGGCATCCAACAGTAAAAAATGCAATTTTTACTAAAGTTGCCGTTGAAAACATTACGAACTGCACAACTACCCACCGACACGTCTAACCCGACTCGCCTGTGCAAAATACGCTGAAAGCATGCTACGAAAGCGCGAATAGTGGATATTTACCAAAAGCCATGGCATGTGCCGGTCAGGTTGACGAGCACGAGCAGGCCTGGCACGTGATCCTAATGAGAATAGACCTTAAAGTTCAACGTCCCTTTCTGTCATAAACTTGACAGCTTACTTGACAGCTAAGGGAGCAACAGCTCAAAAAATTCTTACTAAAGTTAGCGAAAAACCCCACATAGTAACAACCTGGTGTCAGTTCCTTCACATTTGATGTTTTGGAGAGAGGATCCCGAACACGATTAGATTTATTGAAACGCATTTTTACAAAACACCTGTACAAAATCAAAACTATCTCAAAGTTAAGAAACTTAGACGTGGAGAGAGAGAGAGCATAGATTCCGTGATTACATACAATGCTGATAAATGGTACATTGAAAGTCAAAACGTAAACCTAGAGAAACTTACAGTACCTTATACAGTTAGACCGATACACGAATAAGGACAGAGATAATATAGATCAAATCAGATCTTGTATTGGATAAATACACCTGTAAATACCATTAATATACAACCGACACAATTTTAGACCCTGGGTAATAATCCAATTGTTACAAAACTTTTGCGTCAAATAGAAGCCGGCACCATGGATTTAATAGTTTCAGGTCAAGATATCAGCAGATGTCACATGAATTCAAAAACTACACTCAACTTGCTTACCACAAATACAAGATACTTACAGGTTCCTGCAGCTAGCTCCAGAATGACGGCCACCCCTTATACTTAACAGTATATACATAAGTCCTTAGAGCATAGATGATGAAAACTAAGATAATTCAAGTATGTACTTTGAGATAATTACATGTATCTAAACCCCAAATCCGCTAAAGACTAATTTTGAATCAATTTTTTTTGGTATTAATTAGGTGATTGCTGAAATAAAGAATCGGATAAGTAAAGTTACAGATTTATAACAAGCAATCTTTGGCAGTAATATCATGCTATAAATACAACATGTACTTACCTCGAAGTAAAGGATCGATTCCTCCCTCTTCAACAAGCCTCCATGGCGAGAAAAACGCTTTAGAAAGTGGCAAATTTCCTTCTCTAATCGGTTTAAAATCGCTGTTCAAACGGTGCAAGACTGGATTTATCAAAGTGTGGCCAAAACGTAAAGCGGCGGTAGCGAACACATTAGAAATAGAAGGGTTAATATTGGGATTGTACCCTTGGTATTCTCCCAGCTTCTGCATTCCCTTTTTTCCTATGATAATAGGCAACCACTGTTTGTAAGTAACGTGTTGCATGGAGGCTCCTACTATCTTGCGAGCCTCGTGATAGAGCTGATCAGTATCCCAGTGGGGATTCATAATTTTAAGTTCTTTCGCTATCCGGTTATGCTCTCGCAGCCAGATTGTGTGCATTGCTAGAAGTCCTACTTGCTCGTTGGCTCTAATATCACCAGCGACGAAGCAGTTTAAGGTGCTTTCTGTGAGATTGCGTCTGCAATCAATTCCTTGATTTTCGGCGTACGGTAATAATGCCTTCTTGCCTAAAACAAAAAAGAAATTTAGTGTTTTAAAAATAAATAAGTTTTTAATTCGATAAAATTTCTTAACGAACAATCGCGGTGTGTTTGAGGTAATTTTAAGAAAACTAGAGATAACTCTTTCATTACACAAGTGCCTTAATGTGAATTTGATTACCTGGAAAGATTGGTCCTTCCCTCAATCGACCCCAGTTAGTGTTGTGATCTCTTAAATTACTGGCCAACTCCTCTGAAAATCCGTACACTTGTGAGGCATCAATGTAAGAGGTTAACTGGTTGATCTGTTCTCTAGGTTGTATGGAATCGAAGAAGACGGATGTCATGCCAGATCCGCAGATGGATGAGGTTCGAATAAAATCTATGCATCGTCTACAAAAAATCAAAATATAGTGAAAAATTGAATTAAAAAAAATTATATTCCCATCTTAGGGAAATATTTGTGTAGACACTTAGGTCCAGAATTTTACTCGTCTTTGATGATTAATATAAGATGTTTCGCGAAGCTCAGATGATTTAATATTTGTATGTATATGTGTCTATTAACTGTCATTGGACAACATGAAAGGAGCCTCCACGTAGGTTGCGATCACATGTGAAAGCAATCGGTCGTCCCTGGAAAACGAGTCTCCTTCAAGTGTCTTCTCCGCTACGGAGTTTGGCAATCATCATTGCTATTCGTATCTTTGAAGCAGTTGCTTTAAATAATTGGTTAGATGTGCACTGGAACCAGTCTCTTAAATTGCGCAGCCAAGATATACGTCGTCTCCCCACGCTTCGTTTGCCCTGAATCTTTCCTTGGATGATTAACTGGAGCAATCGGTACTTTTCTCCTCTCATCACATGATCAAGATATTTCAGCTTTCTTCTCTTGATAGTGATCAACAGCTCCCGTTCTTTGTTCATTCTTCGAATAACTACAATATTTGTTATTTTGTCTTTCCAAGGTATTTTCAAAATTTTGAATGTGAATGTACAGGTTTGCATTCAATCTTTATTTTTTGAAATAATCATGAATTTTGTCTTCTTGGCATTCATTGTTAACCCTTTCTCTTCACTAGCTGTGACTACCTTGTTTAAAATGGCTTGCAGGTCTTCTACTGTCTCCGCCATTAAAATCGTATCATGTGCGTATCTAATACCAAGTTTGGCAGTTTACAAACACCTCACTCAAAAACCCGACGATTAGGTAGGATTTTTTCCACTCAAAACTTTCGTAAATTCTATAATTCATGCTTGACTTCTGACTGAGTTTTTCTTCTGGGGACATTGACTGTAATGTTAGTAATTTTCTAAATAGACTTGTATCTATTTTTAATAAAGCATTTCCTCTATTAAACATCAGGCCAAAACATAACAAACCTTGGATTACCAAAGGCATTCGCATATCTGCGAAAAATATGCGTTCTCTGCTATATATTAAAAAAATTAATGACAGTATCCCCATCTCTGATTATATCAATAAGTACAGAAAATGTATATAAAACTACTCAAAGTAGCCAAAAAATCCTACTTTCATAATCGCTTAACAAGCTCCAAAAATATTCAAAAGAAACTTGGTCAATAATAAACGATTTTCGAAATAAAACCAGTACAGCGAATCAAACCTTTTCTTTTCCTAACCCCAGAAAATCTAAATGATTACTTTGTTAATGTGAGTAAAAATATAACCTCAACTATTTCGCCACAACAAGATCCAGTTTCCTATCTCTCTAATTCAAAAAACATTGATGATACCTTCTTTTTAAGACCAGTTGATAAGACGGAACTCATTTCAACAATTCGTAGTATAAAAAGCACATCGTCCTGTAGTACAGATGGATTATCTATTAAAATTTTCTCAAATCTACCGCATAATGTTTTGGAGGTCATGGTCTCGCTAGTAAATGATTCCCTTGAAAAAGGTACATTCCCTAACTGCCTAAAGACTGCCATCGTCATTCCTCTTCATAAAGGTAGAGAAAAATCTGATGCCTGCAACTATAGACCTATTGCCTTGTTACCAGCACTATCAAAAATTATTGAAAGACTTATAAAAGTTCGACTTATGCCCTTTCTCCTTAAATATAATATTTTATCCCAAAATCAGTTCGGCTTTTTGTCTAATAAATGCACTAGTGATGCCATATTTTCTGTGTTACATGATGTATATCTATCACTAAACAGTAACCTCTCCTCCGCCACCGTTTTCTGCGACTATTCCAAAGCCTTTGACTGCGTAAATCATGACATTCTATTAAAAAAAATTAACTTTCTATGGAATTCGGGGTGTGTCTTTGAACTGGTTCAAAACTTACTTGGTAGGTAGGAAACAATTGGTTAGAATAAATGACACCGACTCTAGTTGTAAAGATATTGAGTGTGGAGTACCGCAAGGTTCAGTATTAGGTCCCATTCTTTTTTACTTTTCATTAATGACATCACTTACTTGAAAATTAAAGGGAAAATTTTTCTATTTGCTGATGATACCAGTATTACTTGGAGCAGCTCTGATATTTCAACGCTTTATTCAATTATAACCGCTGATTTACTTATAATCAAGGCTTGGTCAGACTCCAACTTACTTAGCTTTAACGTGGATAAGACTGTAGCATTATCTTATAAAGGAGTCATGCAACCCTTGCTTTTGAATGAGAGCCAAATCAATATCGTAAATTCCGTGAAATTTCTAGGTATTCTCATTGACAGTGATCTCAAATGGTCCTTGCATACTAACGTCCTTAAGGAAGAAACTAGCCTCAGCTTGCTTTGCAATAAGATCTGTTTCGAAGGAACTAAATTTATCTTCTGCCAAAAAGGCATATTTCTCATTGTTCGAGTCCCATCTTCGATATGGGCTTCCAATTTGGGATTCTAGTACAGCGGCCCAATTTGATACTATTTTTAAGTTGCAAAAAAGAGCAATCCGTTATCTATTTGGTCTCAAACAAACAACTCATTGCAAGACCTACTTCAAAAATCACGGAATTTTGACGCTTCCCTCTTTATTTATTTTGGAAACGGTTTGTTTGATTCGAAAGCATCTAAACATTTTTCCCGATAGACCTAACCATGGCTACTCCATTAGAAATTCGGATTGTAACGTTTATTTGCCGATCCCGTCCACTCAGCTAGTAAAGAATTCTATTCTATATCGTGCAAAGAAACTTTATAATCACCTTCCAAGAGAAATTAAATCCGCAACATCCTTCATTAAGTTTCGTAAGGTGACAAAAATCTATCTCTCAGAAAGACCATATTATTCAGTTGACGAGTTTCTTAATGTATAACAAAGAAACAAAATTAGTATTGTTTATAATTACATTTGGGTGTCTCAAGCAGTGGCTACAATTTGTCTCATTTGTTGTTGTCTGTACAAATTATGTAGGTTATACAATAATTTTACTAATTTAAAATTGTGTTATTCTGTTTTTTACTATATTTGTTTTTGTTTTATACTTTTTGTACTATTTGATTGATTTATTTTTTAGCTTTGTCCATAAAATTGTTCAATAATTTTCAGTGACAATAAAGCATATTTCTATTTTATTCTATTCTAATATTATTAATTTTTTGGCCGTTAACTTTTATCCCAATCTCTTCTTCCTCCAATGCTTTCTTCATAATTTCTTCCGAATAGAGATTAAATAGCATTGGTGACAGCACACATCCTTGTCTAACTCCATTTTTAAATTGAATTTCATTTGTTGTGCTATTTTCGATGCGTGCAACTGCCTTCTGATTATAATACAGAGTAGATATTATTCTTATGTCACGAGTGTCTAACTGTTTAGCTTTCAAGATCTCTCAAAGTTGGTCATCCTTGACGTTATCAAACGCTTGTTGTAATCAATGAAACAAGCAAATACATCTTGATTCACATCCAAACGCCTCTGTGTCAAGATGTTAAAGGCAAATAATGCTTCGCGAGTTCCATATCCCTACCGGAATCCAAACTGAGTTTCTCCGATATCTTCTTCCAATTTTCTGTAAATTCGATTGTGAATTATTTTGAGGAATATCTTTAAGGTACGGCTCATCAGACTGATCGTGCGATGATCACTGCACTGCTTAGCCATTCAGGAATTATACTGTTTTCATAAATCTTGTTAAATAAGTCTACCAACAAATGAATTCGATCTATCAACTTTACTATATCCGCTGGTAGCTCGTCTGGTCTTGAAGCTTTGCTAGTCTTTGATGACTTCACCGCTTGCATTACTTCTTCTTTGCTTATTTCTGGACCTGTCTCCTCTGGAAAATTATCACATTGAGGCTGCCTTTAATCGTCAAACAGTTCTTCTATGTATGTCTGCCAGAAAGAAATAACAGGAATAGCGTTCATAGATCTGACTGCCGCCTATGACACAGTTAACCATCAACGGCTGCTGGTAAAACTCTACGAAATTACAAAGGATTTCCGACTAACAAGGTTAACGAAATATCTTCTCCAGAATAGACGCTTCTACGTAACGCTCCAGTCCAAGAACTATTGATATGATGATACTACATATTATAGTCATACGCGTAGTGAGGTGTCAAGGTGTGAGGTGCAACTTTCGCTAAGAATTATCCACAACCTGATGAAAATAGTCAACGCCTCCCTTTAAACTCAATCATGCTCACAAAAAAGGTTGGTCAGCTAAAAGGGCAACTTGTGCAAGCTGATTTATCTATTTATCAATTTTGTTATATTTTTGATATGTATTTCCGTAAAATAAGAACATGTAAAACACACATGCTTTATGCGGTTTTACATATGGTTTTACATACTAATATTTTATGTACCTACCGGTTTGTAACTCTTGGGTCGTTTTCTGGTACGTCCATGGGATAGCATGGCGCCCTATAATCACATGATTTCTTACAATCAATTCCATCCCAACTTTCAGACGTTACAGACGGTAAAGCATGGTCCAAGTCGTGATCCAAAAATTGACCCCATTGCATAACCTACAAGAAAACCATTTCAATTAGAAGATAAGAGATATTGTCACGATAGTTGCCGTTCAAAGACCCGACATTCTCGAATATATAAAGAGAACGCAGGTGTTTGCTTTGAAGCTCGCCTTGAGGGTTCGAAAATGATAATGATTATTCGTCAAGATTCCCTATCCTAGAGGTAAACCGACCTGTTTTTTAGAAAAGACTGGAGGGGCAAGTATCTGCGTGACGGCCCAAAACTATAAAGCAACTTTTGTCTAGAATTATCCACAACCTGATGAAAATAGTCAACGTCTTCTGTAAACTCAATCATACTCTCAAAAACGGTTGGTCAGCTAAAAGAGCAACTTGTGCAGGCCGACTTATCTCCTAAATGTTTCTAAATAAAGTTTTGATAGATCATAAAGAAGAGATACATAGCTTCTATCAAACCACAGAAAATAATATTTAAACTCGAGCAGTAACGAAAATAGTAATCAGAGAATTTATACTTGTCCCATAGGAAGGTTTTTTAGCCACAAGGAGAAAAGAGAATGGAGGAATGAACGAGATACTCAATATGATGGAACAACGGAGACCAATGTAAACGAACAACGACAACAATAAATACAGAGAGATAAAAACACGAAAACAGGAAGATGATAAAAGCCGGCAAAAGAAAAAATACTTTAAGAGAGAATGCAAAGACATCGAAGACCTTCAAAATAAATATGATCTGTTTAACCTACACAAGAAAAGTTAAAGAACATGGCAGGACTAAGAAAACAAAATCACACTCGTGCAATTCTGGAAAGACACGGGACTACTTAATAACACATACGGACGAAGAAAGTACAAAGATGAGACAGAATATATCGACGAATTGTTCAATGATGAAAGAGGAGATCAGGAGCACATAGAACTTACGTCAGAAGAAATAGGTCCATATATTACAAAAGAAGAAATATTACACGCAATAAAAACAATGAAGAGTGGAAAACGCCCTGACCTGATATGCTTCCTACAGAAATCCTAAAAATTCTAAGATGAGAAGCACATTGATGTTTTAGTGACACTCTTGAACCAAATTTGTATAAATTGTTCAAGACTAAAAACTATATAAATAATAGTTCAGGCGTATTACCCAAAGAGTGGTTAACGTCGATTTTTATTTGTCTCCCCAAAAAGAAAAACGCAAGAGAATGCAGCGATTACCGTACCATTAGCTTGATGTCTCATGTGCTAAAGTTACTACTAAAAGTCATCCATAACAGAATATATCACAATTTGGACATAGACGTTAATGACACACAATTTGGTTTTCGCAAAGCATTAGGAACGCATGAGAAGTTCTTGTTTCACTTAATATACTGATACAAAGATGCCTGGACGTCAATCAAGATATATACGCAAGTTTTATTGACTATAATAAAGCATTCGATAAAGTACGACATAACAATTAATGAATGTCCTGAAATCAAAGATAGGAAGGTTTTAGTTACAAGTACCCTCACTCGATGCGTAGCACAACTAGAATAAAAAAACCTACAAAGAAACGTTACTTTTGCTAAGCCCTATCTTCATTGGTCTTCTATTCTCTTTCTCCGGACAGCAGACCAACCACCACCACCAGTACAAAACTCTCCTACACCCAAACCTGAGGAGGAACAAGAGGATAAGGAATTACAGATTTTTTTCTAGAATAAAATATTTTGATATTTATTATAGAAGTGCGGTGAAGAAAACAAGCGAAGGAAGATACAATGTAAAGATAAATAATGCAAAATTTGACGAAAATATACCAGAACTGTTAAAAACGAATTGAGCTGATTGCCGCTAAAAACGCTACAACTTACAGTTAAATGATCCTTACCATATGAGTTATTTCAGGATCAGGAGTAATCTTTGTCGTAGTAATCAACGTTGTGGAAACTAATCTAGAACTTGGCTTCGTATATCCATGATATTTCTTATCCTTGATCCAACCAACTGGTTTTTGAAGACCGTCTTCGTAAATCGGTTTTAAGATACGCCTGAATTCGGTTAAAGATGCTCCCCAAGTTGGGTGCTGCAAGTTGTTGCACGTTCCATCTACAGCACGGTACTTTGAGTGGAAGCACATATTGGAACAATTTCTGAGAAGTCTGTGAGAAGTACAACCTAAAGAAAAAAGATATCAGCACGCCAAAACATTTAAATAAACTGGATTAGATTATATTGAAATGTGAAACATGAAATAAAAGGTTTGATATGATTTATTCCACAATGCTACAAGGAAATCTTTTCAGATACTTAGATTCTTACCTGACAATCTAGCGATCATGTCCAAATGCTCCGAGGACAAAAGTTCTTTATAATCAAAGTCGGCTGTGGAATTCAAGGTCAGATTACCAGCTTGTACGTACTTTCTGATGTTAGTTAATGTCCTTTCGTATATTTCAGAAGCTCTAGCCAGTTCCCTGGCTGGTGCATCTGGGTATCTAATAAGTCTGAAAAGCTCTCCAGGGTTACGGGTGTCTTTATTTTTGATAAGGTTGTCCAAAGTTCGGTTGATAGCACGGTCTACTTCTTCAGTAGCTTCGGCAAATGCTAGTTTGACATATTGATCACCGATACCAACACCTGTAAAATGATATATGATAAATAAATTATTAATGAAAAATTTAAAACTAACAATCAATTTAATATTACCTTTATTACTACTAGAATATTGATAAAATTATAGAATATTTATAACCAAAATCTATCTGATACAGAAAGTATACTGGAACCACCATTGCTGTTTAACATTATACAATCTTTAAAAAAGCCTTAGAATCGCAAAAGGCTGCAAAAGGTCGCAAAGGATATTTTTGAGATCGCGTACTAATAAGCTTTGTTCATGGCCAAATCGTATCTATCCTTTCTTGGTTCTTATTTTCGTTTTCTTTCTCAGGGCCTCATAAAGAACGTCTAAACTATTCCATATAACAAAATGGACTTACACAACTTTCATTCTCAGCGGCTCATATACAGGGCTAGTCAAAAGTCCGTTTCCCCTCGTATCTTTTGAATGGTTATTGTTATAACAGTGAAATTTGGAGGGACGTAGACGTAATAAATAGACTAGCTTCGCAACTATTCATAACAAGTGACATATGTCATTACAGCACCACTGGACAGATAATTTTAAATGGGACCTTATGGCAAGTGATACCTCGTTTGGAAGGTATTGAAAATACCTATTCAGTCATAATAATTTTGTTTGAGTTTAAGCTCATTTTGATGAATAAATAAATAAATATTAAAACTGTAGCTTCTCATTTAATTCATAAATATTTAAAAACCCGTTCTTGTAGTAAGTGTTCAAAATGTACTCCATCTACTTCCTGACAGTAATGCATTCTATTTCTAAGCTCTTGCCGTACTCGTTCAAATGTGTCGGGGAAAATTGCCCTACAGTCTTCAACAGTTCGTTGTTTCAAAATGTCAATATTGTCGGGTGCTGTAGCATAAACTTTAAATTTCAAGTATCCCTACAGAAAAAAATGTTGTTGCAGTTTCGCAAGGATATATAAAAATTTATAAAATATTAACAGACTTTGTGGTAGTTTTTATTCTCAAAGTATTCCAAGATTACGTGTACGAAAATACAGCTGTGTTAAAACTACACATTTAATGCCTGTTTATTTATATCTGTTTGATTTTACTTTTTTTTCAAATAGAGTTTATATAGTCTACTCGTTTATTATTTTTCTATAGGAATATATATACCCAATGCGAAAGAAAGAAACCAGCGAGTTCTAGATTGAACATAATATATTCTCCCTCCTTTCTGGTGACCCCAATTATTGTATTGAGTTCAACGTATGTGCAGAATGTAACAGATCTAATGGTGTGAGGTCCGGAGACCGAACTGGCCATTTTATAGTACATCGTCGTCCAATCCATCTACCACGATATTCCTCATCTAGGTAACGTCTTACTGAACCATAATAGTGTGCAGAAGCACCATCTTGTTGAAACGATATTTCCAAGTTGCCGAATTCATCTGGATTATCTTTCAGAATTTCAAGTATTAACGGTTCAATTGGATTTTGTAACATCTTCAGATTCACTTCACCAGTTAAGTTAGTATTGAGAAAAACGGGCCCAACTATGTGGTTTACCAAAATACTTGCCCAAATATTTATTTTTTTTTTAAATTGAGTATGTGTTTCACGAAAGACGTGAGGATTTGTGTCACTTTAATACCTCACATGATGTGTGTTAACATTTCCATTGAGAGAAAAAGTACTTTCGTCACTAAAATAAATTGTTTTTATGTAATCGGGCTTTGGTGTTAATTTTATTGGACATATTTTCACAGAATTCTAGTCTTTGATCGGGGTCATCAACTTAGATAATTGGAATTCAGATATGTTAAAATTATTAAAACTAAAACAATTAAGGACACTTAGGGACAAACAGAACACAATTAAAAGGACTAAACAGACATTAAATTTAAAATGAGGGGACTTATTGGCACTACATCACTTAGTACGAGAGGAACTGGAAAAAATCTGCCAAAAACAGTAATCAAATTCAACTTTATCAAAGAAATTTGATAATTACAAGTTAAAGAAATTGCACACCCACATAATTATATATCTAATTTCATTCATTATACAACTATCCCTTTAATAAAAAATTTCAATAAATTAACACACATTTCTAAAATATATCTCTTGAATAAATATAAATAACTTTTAATAAATTAAATAATATAGAACATCACTTTCATTTAACAAATAAACACATTATACCTTATTCCTACTTCATTTGTTTACATCTATCTCCTTAAGAAACTTCCTCGCTAATTACCAAACAGTTACAATAGTAAAACCGAAGATCCACCATCATCAGCAATTACAGGATAGTTTGAACTATGTTCTCCGAATCATTAATTATTAATTCTTGTACCGGCATCATTTAATTTACTTTGTACGACTGACCTGAAGATGCTTTGCAAATTGTAGAACGCGAAACCGTTCCTCTTGGTAGTAAAATTAAACTGATTGTGAGTAAGTCTTATTTTATTTCTTTTTACCTAAATATTCTAACGTTTGCCCCTGGTTATTGTCAAAAAAGTAGACGTTAACGTAAAAACAATTAGAGAATTAAAAAACGTTAACTTTTTGACAAGTAACCAGAGGTGGAGGTTTTAATATTTATTAATTATGTAAATGCGAAACTACAATTTTAGTATTTATTTAATTTATTCATCAAAATGAGTTAAAACTAAAAAAAAATAGTATGGTTGACTTTCAAACGAGGTATCACTTGCCATAAGGTCCTATTTAAAATTATCTGCCACAGTGGCGCTGTAACGTCATCTGTCACTATTACGTCACTTGTTATGACTAATTAAGACCTACGCCTGTTTATTACCTACCTCCAAATTTCACTATTATAAGTATAACCGTTTAAAAGATACGAGGGGAGGAACGGACTTTTGACTAACACTGTATGTGTAAGGATGTATTAAAAATCTAGAAAAACTTACCAGTAGGATCCTTTAATTTCTTAACAGTGACGTAACCAGAAGCTGAGTCTCTACCATAATCATTAAGAGCTGTACATTCATATCTGCCTTGATCTTCGGGACCCACTTTGTAAATGTACAAATTACCGTTTAAAGCAACCTTAAATCGACCAGTTCTTTGCATAGATGATCCGTCTTTTTGCCAGGTAATTCCAGGTTTAGGATCACCTGTTGCTTTGCAGGGTAACTCTATGGTACTACCTGAAAAATATTATTAATTATTAAAAAAATGTTGATACTTATCAAAAAAAAAAAGAAAAAAAAGTTCATACTCACCAACAAATACTTCAATATTAATCGGTTTATACACCAACTTCGCCGGTTTATACGAAGTGTTTTCCACTCGGACATAAGCGCTAACTTCACGCATTCCAACATCGTTCCAAGCTTCGCAAACGTACAGAGCAGTGTCAGATTCTTGAACATTAGTAATTTCTAATAAAGTTCTATCTTCACTGAGGTTAACTCTACCACCAGCATCATTGGGAAGAACTTCTTCGTCGTTTTTGAACCAAGTTATTTCCGGGATGGGAGTACCTGAAGCGACACATTCCAGTTTGATGTTGTTTCCAATTTGAGTGTTGATGTTTTCAGGTTGTATGCTGAACACTGGTGGAGCTGAAATCGTAAACAAAATATTTAAGTATTTACCTTATATAATACAACCAATTTTGATGTAATATGAACCATACCATAAATATAAATCGCTTTGGTTTTCTTCTGTAGGTCTTCCTATGCATCTTCTTCATATTATAGGTACTTCCTTCTTCTTATTATACATAATTCTGCACATAAGACGTTTCTTTGACTCCATTTAAGACGAGAACGAAATCCTACTCACTTCCAAACAAGATATATTAAAAAGACGGAAGGAATACAGCGAGAATCTGATGACCGAGATCGAGGAAGATGTAAAGGAAGCAATAGAAAAGCTGTAGAACTCTACACGACCTTCATAACTCTATAAATAATTAACAAACTCTTAAATACCTCTAATGATAATGTTGGCTTCAGCTTTCACTCTACCCCTATTATTGATCGCTTCACATTGGTAACTACCATGATCTGTTGCTTCGATATCTTTTACCACTAATGATCCATCTTTCAGATAGATATGCTTGTTAGATGGTGGTAGTCTGATGCCATTTTTAGCCCACTTTATCACAGGACTGGGATTTCCTTCAGCATTACACGTCAATATGATTTCGGGGTCTCCGATGGAAGCGTAAGTGTTTGCTGGTGATTGTGTAAATTTAGGAGATCCTGTAAAAGATAAATGGTGTTAATAAGGTAAAACTTCTTACCTGCAGTATCTGCGTGTTTTATTAAATTCAAGGATATAATATAATACATAATATATATAATATAATAGTAAACTCTTAAATATTGGGGAAATCTGCAAGAAAAACTCTAATGTGTATCAATTGTTTCGCCGAACGTTTTCGCCAAAGAGAATTAATTTGGCTTCTTCAGGGCTGAAAGAGAATAAATTATAATTAGCTACCATATATTATCTAATAAAAACATTTACCTTACCGTAAATTTTAGAAATGTCGAGTTAGGATGTTAAAAAACTTAGCTAGTAACAACATAGTGGTGTTTTTTTGTTACTATGTGCAAAAAAGTTTTTTTGTTAACGTTGGAAATGTATGGTAGCTTTGAACTTAAAACGCAAAGGTTTACCCAAGGTTAATCGAAAAACCCGATGTAACTACATTTAAAGGAAGTAATTCTTTGAATTGTCGGCAATAACTAAATTTTTGATTGTTATAAAGTTTGAATGTGAGGTTCTGTTTTCATAGAACATACTATTTTCACACTTACCAAAATACTTTTCGTGCAATTCTTGTGGTTTTTCCACCACCATCTTAGCTGGGGCAGACTTTTCTTCCTTTTCGGTGTTTTTCACAATACATTCGTAATACCCGTCGTCGTTTTCATTGGCGTTTTGGATAAGAAGTGATCCGTTGTCCATGATAATATATTTTTGGTGATCAGGAGTCAATTCTTGTTCGTCTCTCATCCAAAAGATCGATACTGATGGATCGTAGACTTTACAGGTGAAAACGGCATTTTGACCCCAGGATATTTTTAAGTCTCGTGGTCCTTCCTTTATTAATCCAGACTCTGAAACATATGTTAAATAAATATACTGTTGAACTGCCTTGCATGACGAAAATAACCACTTTAGTAGTCGTTTTAATACTTACCGCAGTGTAGGTGTTCTGCGTTTGCTTCCTTCAGAGGCATTCCTTGCATTTCTACGGGATATTTGCAATGCGCCGAACCTTCCACGGAATTAGTAGCAAACATCTGCGACAACCATAACATATCGCAATTGCAAACCAAGGCATTATGATCCAAACGAAGTTTCTCCAGACTTGGTAAATGTTGAAAACCTTCTTCTGGGAGATGCTTCAAACGGTTGTGGTAGAGGTTTCTAAAAAAACAGTAGAAACCGTTTAATAGAATAAAAAGCTACTAATTAGAGCAAAAAACAAATTCAAATAGCTTCTTATCAATTGGTATTAAATATAAAAAGAAATATTCGAAATAAATATAACAGCTCAAACATTTTGTCTTCCAAACCCTGAAAATCAAAATTAATACTTCGTTAATTTGAGTAAAAATATAACGTCAACTATTTTGCCACAACAAGATCCTATTTCCTATCTCCCCAATTCAAAAAAGGTCTCAAATTCATTCTTTATAGGAGCAGTTAATAAATCTGAACTGATCCAAACAATCAGTAGTATAGCAAATCTTCCTGTAGTACTGATGAACTATAGATAAAAATGTTCTTAAACCTTCCAAAAAATGTATTGGAAGTCATAGTCTCACTAATTAACGATTTAAATGAAATCGTAGGCTTCCACGGCCAGAGTCAGAATTATAGTTTATTCGTCTTCCGGGTTTGGACCGTGTCATTTGTCAGTGACCCAAAAGTGGGTTCATCTCGACGTTTCGCTACAATTGTATGTAGCTTCTTCAGGAGAACAAAGAAAAGAAAAAGAAAAGAAGACAGGAAGATGGGTAGTTAGCAACGGTAACTCAGTTACTCAACGCAACCAGAGGCGAATACTAACTACCAAGATGGGCATTTGGTCACAGTAACTCAACTACTCAACGCAGCCAGAGGTGAAAACCAAATGCCAGGACAGGGATTCACGTCCAACAGCTCAGAACACTAACGCGTCGAGAGGCGGGGAGTGAATCCGACGATTACTCCGCTACCGCTCTATTTATAGTCGCGGTGACCTGTCGTGTCGGGACGTATCGGCACAGAACGTCAAGAAGCGCGCGCTGGCCAATCATGTGGCTGCATCGTGGTAGCGGGACCGGACGGCGCGGCGGCTCTAGACTGAGATTCCAGATGGGAGACAAGTAGTATCCTTCCTCTCGATTGATATTATGTGGATTTTTTCGGAACTCTAGAGATTCGCGGATTTTTCTGGAATAAAAGAAGGGGCTCTTAGAAATAATATGGGTTTTTTCGAACAATATGGAATGACCGGTTTCTTGGCAGTGTTCTGCAACTGCAGAATGGGAGAAAAGACCTGATCGAATGCATCTTTGATGCTCTTGAATCCGAGTTTTGACGGAACGACCAGTTTCGCCAATATACACATGTCCACATGAACAAGGAATAGAATAGACACCACAGGAAGATAGGGGCGGTAATGGGTCCTTAGGAGAGGGTAGATATTGTGAGATTTTCTTGGGTGGTCGAAAAGTAGTCCTTTCTCTTTTGGTTCACTGTAGTCTTGCTCAGTTTTCTCCAATACATCTAATAATTGTCTTTCTTCCAGTAGTATGGTTACTCTGAATTTCCAATTGTTAAAATTTGTAGCATTTGTCTGCTGAGGAACATTGACTATTGCATTAGCCATTTTATATTTCACACTTTCTTTTATGCTTCTTTATTTTTTGTCTGTCTGGGTACCCATAACCTATTAGAATTTGTTGTTTCCCAGTGAGGTAATACAGAGATAGCAGTGAATTATTTGATTACTTTATTTTACAAAAGTACTAAAAACTAAACATGTGCTACATTCTAGAAAACATATTTTACAATTGACATATGACAACCGGAATCACTTAAGACATTGTGAGCCAGTGTTGCCAAGTACAAAATTCCAATAATATGGATGAAACAGGAATATCATCTGTACAACGGCCAGGAAAAATCCTTGCTCCACAAGGTCAAAAACAAGTTGGAAGCATGACAAGTTGGGAAAGAGGAAAGAACGTAACTGTCGTCTGTGCAATGAGTGCTTCTGGTAATTACATACCGCCAATGTTATTTTCCCCAGAAAACGTATGACACCCCTTTTGCAAAAAGATGGACCTGTAGGATCAATATATTGTTGTTCAGACAATGGCTGGTCTAATGAGAAACTCTTTCTTGAATGGCTCCAACATTTTGCAAAGATTGCGAAACCTACCGAAGACGATCCTCTGTTATTGGTCCTGGACAACCATGGTAGTCATATTACATTGACCAATTATGAATTTTGTAAGGCTAACTATATTCACGTTATATCGATGCCGCCACACACGTCCCACAGACTACAACCTCTAGATGTGGCTTTTTATAGCCCATTAAAAAATGGTTTCAACAGAGAATGTGATTATTATATGAAAAATAATTTACACCAAAAAATCACACCTTATGAAATTGCGTCAATATTTAACAAAGCCTACATGAAAATTGCCACCATTGAAAAAGCTGTATCAGGATTCAGCTCAACTGGAATTTATCCTTTTCACCCAAATAAGTTTTCAGAAGACGATTTTGCTCCATCTCAACTTATCCAACACATCATTATTGAAGAAAAAGTTGACCACGAAATTGACCAATTAGTTGACCAAATTGGTACTGATGAATCTACTAGCTTCAATAATTTGGAGGTCAATACAGATCCACAGCCATCCACTAGTTTTCAAACAAGCATAGTAGAATTGTCGCCTTCACCATTAACAGAAATAACATCTCAAAAGCTGGCAAATAATAATAATGATAATAAAAAACAACACTCTATTATTATGACATCTACTCCTATAAAACATATCCTTGAAGATGCCAAACTAAGAAAAGAAGAAAAGATAAAAAAGAAAGAGCAAGCAAATAATATAAAAAAAGAAAAACAAAATAGGAAAAGAGGTCAAGAGAACAGACCAGAGAAAACATCTAAAAGAGTTACTAAGGGTAAATCAGATCTCAAAAATGTGGGTTTAAAAAGAGTAAAGAAAACGCACAAAAGACGCATTCATTTCGATTCCAGCTCTTGGTTGGAAGATATTGATATTAAAACCATCTGCGATGATGATGACGACGATGACACATTGTTTGATGTCTACTGTGACTCCAATAAAGAAGTATGTGTAATTTGTGGAGAGTTTGGGGCAAATGAACTATGGTATCGTTGTGTTTTATGTTCTAATTGGGCTCATTCCGAATGTACCGGTTATGATACACCAGAAAATTATGTCTGTGACTTTTGTGCAAAATAATTTTTTTTTCTTGATTTTTATAAAAATTGTTTTAATTTTTTGTAATATGTTTTCCTAGTTCAGTTTAATAAAAGTTTATTTTAACTGCGCAGTCCCGTTATAATTTTAGTATTTCTAAGTTTCAATTAGTCGGTATTACCCACCAACAGTGTCGGCATTACCCCAGTATGGTGGGGAATGCAGACACTTGCTAATCTTTTCTTTAGTATGAAATAACTAATTTCTTTAATATGAAAATGTGAATATAAATTTCTAATTACACCTATAATGAGCTAATTAGTCCAGCAATATAATGCATTATTTAAATCTATATATTTACTTTTCAGTAATGTGTTATATCGATCTAAAGCTTAAGGTGTCGCCATTACCCCACCTTCCCTTACCGTCGAAGATTCTGACACCGAAGAAAGTGATCTTTCCAATATTGAAGAGGATACAGATTCCGAACTAAGTTCACAGGGTTCAATTCCTGATAACGACGATGTCGTGTGCATCTTTTACGAGGAGTCTTATTCAAGTAATAGCAGAGGGGAATCTTGGAAACAGTGTCATAGCTGTCTTTTGTGGACACACAATGAATCTGCCGGTGCAGAAACTCAACATTATATCTGCGATTTCTGCCGATAGACTTTCGTATGTGGCCCCTTGAGGGCCATATTAGAGTGACGTTTTTGTTTTTCACAGAGTACTAGATACGGAAAAGAATAAATTTTTTATGTTAGATCTTGATTTTTTTTTATATTCTCTAATAAGTATTAGACTAATAGTTATGTGGACGAAAATTAAAATTTAAAAATGTTGATTGTTTATAATCTCTAGTCGAAAAACAAATTAAGGGCCCATATTCCCACCTTCTCCTCTACCTTCCTTAGGCTTTTTTCTTTAAAGACTTTCAGTTTTCTTTTTACATTTTCTGTCATCACTGATGTCTCGCATGATAACACGCTATTGGTCTAATAATTATATGGTTTTGTAGACCCCTTTTTTCGACGTCCTGTCTCCTGTATGAGACTACAACTTGCACTGCACTGTGACTGTACTGCACGTGACTGCAGGACTGCATAGTACATTTGCTGTGATTGGTCCACAAACCATACATATATAGAGTATTTATGGTTTGTGTATTGGACAAGGATCTACAGAGCGAGAATTTGGCATCCAAATTCCACGGCTTCGCGCAATCGTACTTGTAAGTTCGTATAGTCGGCTGGAGTTAACAATTTGCCAAATTTAAATGTAATCGTTTCTACTCATTCATATTAATATTATAATGTATAATATATTAAAGTTTTTAATATTGGTAATATTATTAAAGCTTTTAATACTATTTTTTAATATTAATAATAATATTAAGTAATTAAATATTGCGCCTTACTTAAAAAAAGTACGAGATAAATATAACTCGTTTTTTATATCTTTACGTATGCTAAGGGTAATAAATTAAAATCCTTCAATACAAGACTAAAGGTAGGTACCTATAATTTGAATAAGCTGGTTTTGCCCATACTGACTTTCTAATTCTAATTACCTACTAATTTGCATAACAGTCAGATATTGTACCTGGTCATAATGCTGTTTTAATAGGGTGAATTGCCCAGTTGTCGGCCACTTAACTGAATTTTCCCATTAAACCGACGTTTAAAAAGACCTGATTGATTTAATTCTAAATTTGATCATTTTATCTGATAGCCTGTAGTATACTAAACTAATTTATGTCCATTCAAAAATGAGAAATCTATTTAGTTTCCTTTCCTTAAATAAAATATTAAAAATGTGCTTTTTGCCAGTTCTCGGCCACGTGGTTTTTTTCTCGGCCATGGACATGCCGGTTTTCGGTCGGGTGGCCGAAAACCCCCTTTTTTCGACCATGTTAATTAAACATTGAAATAAAAGTAGAAAATAATAACAAAATACCTAGCAACTTTA